GCCGAAATCTCCAAGGCTCTTCTGCTTATTGTTGCTGTCAAAGAAAGCTATTGGTAGAAGAACTGAAAACTAAATATCGCCACAAAAAAAAAAAAAATCAGCTAACTAACCAACATACTGCAGCCAGTTTTGAACTTAAGAGGAAAATTTCGTAGATCGACTTTCATCATCTCACCAATCTGATTGAAAATCTGAACCTGAAAACTGACTCTAACACAACCAGAATGTCGAGCTTAGAAAATTAATTCCAGCGACAAAATCTAGTAACATAAGTCCCGATAATGTTGATTTTAATTTTAGTAATCTTACCTTAAGTGAACAATGTCAAAATGCTCTATCAAAAGATTTAAATTGTTGTTGACCTACCAGTAAACTAAATTTCTGGAGTTACTTTTTCCATTTGAAGGTATCTACAAAACTCTTGTATCCTTTCCTAATTTTAACAAAGATAATACACTAAACATATAATACCTTATCAAAACTAAATTTAAAAATTTGGCATTATACCCTTCTTTAACTTCAATCCCCTTAAAAAACCCTTCTTCTATTACACCGAAACGTTGTTGTTATCTGATTTAAATTGTTGTTTACCTACCAGTAAACTAAATTTCTGGAGTTATTTTTTCCATTTGAATGTATCTACAAAACTCTTAAATCCTTTCCTAATTTAAAAAATTTGGCATTATTCCCTTCTATAACTTCAATCCCCTTAAAAAACCCTTCTTCTATTACACAAGTTGAGATTTCTGCCTTAACAGAACTTGCCAGTAACCGAAGCGTCGTTGTTATCTGGGAAGATAAAGGTACAGGTGTCGTCATTTTAAACAGATCTGATTATGTCTCCAAAATGAAAGACATTTTAAATGACAGGACAAAGTTTAACCCCCTCGATAATGATTGGCTTAAGCTTACTCTCAAGCGTGAGAAAAAGCTTCAACGGACTTTATATTTTAAAAATTGTAAACTCATCTCTGCAGCACTTTATCCTACAGGTTCCCGCCCTGGTCTTATGTATGGCTAACAGAAAATACACAAAAATAATTTACCCCTCAGACCTATTCTATTTAATCTTGGTTCCCACGCCTACAAGCTTGCTAAATATCTTGTACCTGCATTAAGCTCACTAACTAAGAAAGTATTTAACTGTTAAATATTCTTTTTCGTTTGCTCAAGAGATATTTAAGTTTTCTAATGCAGACCAATTCTTTATACCCAACTTTGATATTCAGTCCTTATTCAATAACATCACACAATTATTAAACAGTTATTCCCTACCAAAAATGCTCTACAAAAAAATTTAAGATATTTTAAATTGATTCTCAAGGACAATCACTTTGTTTTTAATGGTCTTCTTTATGACCAGATAGATGGAGTGGCGATGGGATCATCTATAGGTCCAAATATCTTTCTATGTTATTACGAATGTAAATGGCTGGATAATTGCCCCCTTTATTACAAATCAGTATTTCATAGAAGGTTTTGTTTGTTTGTTAAGCACAAAGCTACACAATGGGCTATCTGTGCTCTGACCACCATGGGTATCGAAACCCGGTTTCTAGCGTTGTAAGTCCACAGACATACCACTGTGCCACCGGAGGCTAATCTAATGTAGAGTTTATTTTCATTATTAAATATATTATATATATATATATATATATATATATATAAGGTACATTGATGATACTCTTCTACTCTTTCACAACACTGATTTACACCAAGAAGTTTTTAGAATATCTAAACTCAACATCCATGTAAAAACGTTACACGTGAGATGAAAGAAAACAATAACTTAGCCTTTTTAAACATTCAAATAAACAAAATAAACAATCTCTTTGTCACATCTATTTAACGCAAAAAAAACCAAAAAACATTTGCTGGATTATACACTCGTTTCAACACTTTCATAAAAGACTACTGCAAACGTAACCTTGTTCTAAATCTTTCAACCAAAGCTTATAATATTTGTTCTGAATACTTCACTCAGAATTTTCAAAAATTAATAACATAATTCAAAATAATGATTGTTCCCTTAATTTCTCACACTCTATCACACGGACATTTTAAACAAATAAAATAGAACTTACCAAGAAGCCACACACACTGTTTTAAATTATTCATTAGTTCTTATCATTCGTTTCATTGGCAAAGTTTTAAACTCAAATATCAAATTCAAAATATATTCCAAACATATTACCCACAACTTAAGCTACGTTTAGTATTTATCAACATTTAGAATTAAAAACTTATCTAAAATCAAAAGACACTGTACCCATTCCTATGCATTCGTGGGTCATATATAAATACACTTCTAGTAGCTGTAAAGCTACCCATATTGATAAAACTACACGTCACCTACAAATACGCGAGCATCTGGGAATTTCAGCTAGAAGCGGTTATAAGCTATCTAATCCACCTGAGTGTTGTATTCGATTATACAGAAGAATAAAAACACCCCCTCTCCCATAATTCTTGAAACTTTACAATTCTCAATCCTAGAACCATAGATTACGAACTCTTTATTAGAGAAAGCCTCTTCATTATCAATGATCACCCAACACCAAATAATAACATCAACTCTCTCCTGGTGTCATTAATGTAATCAATTCCAGATTCTCATTGTTTTCATTTGATGATTATCATTGTTATTATTTTAAAGATACAGTGTTTATACTTATATTCAAACCTTTCTTTATATTGTTTTATTTTAATGATGTTATTGAACATATGCATGGCAACGTTTTACCATGCATTTCCTGTTCTTTCTAAACTTATTATTCTATAAGAAAACTATTTATTTAATAACGAATATTTTTTGTAATTAGAATACTGTAAACTAAGCGTTTGATGTTTCAACCCTGGTGAAATTTGAATCAATTCCGATACGTTCGTAATTAAAGATGCATTTTGGTATTACTGTGTTTTTAATGTTTATTATAAAACTGAAAAACTTTTTACTAAACGTTTACTTGTTTGATTAATTTGTGTATTTATTTTTATTAGAGCTGTTGGATATCATTTTATAGCAGCTTCAAAATTGGGTATATGATTGGTCAATGCTTTTGTTAGTGCTCTCCACGTGAACAAAAGACACGTGCATATATCATATGTCTCGTCAATTGCCTGACACAGAGGAAAATGTAAAGTTTGCTTTCCACCACATAGGTTAACTTATTGATTCCAGAGTTATTAGCCAGAGTGCTTGGAGGTAGTAAACTGTAACTTGTTGCACACTGTGAACGATCCAGAAATACGGTCACGTGATGACTGAAGCATGCTAGTCTACTAAATGGCGTAAAAATGTTTTTTTTTCGCAAATTATGTCAATATAAATGTATATTTTAATGAATTTATATAGATAAAGCTTGCAATATGGTAAAACGTTCATTACTCATATATAAGGTATAACTATTGGTCAAATCTAATTGAATTTGACTAAATTTTTATCTAATTATTTTTTATAGTTTTAGTGCCACAAACGATGATGTTTATGTACAAAATAGAATTGAAAGAATTCAACGTGTTTTCGTTCTTGATGCTAAGTCTTATCAGTAAAATCATGTTTAGTTAGCGTAGTAGTTTCTTTCTACTATTACTAATAGCATTTTGTATATAAAAGTGAGAGCTAACAAAATTCATAAAAAAACTCAGTATTATCCCGATACTGTCGAATTCAATGTATCTTTATCTACATGTTTTAGAAGAACCCCGTATTTCGACACAAGGATCACCTTTTCTTATTTGCACTTAGAAAATGGTAAATAATACCGCAACGAAAAATGTTGCAGAATATTCTAGTCTAAAGTTTGAAGTTTTTTTGCAAGCCCTTGTTTACATTAAGTGGATATCATAAGATACGTCCTATAGTAGTTACAAGTTGTTAGTTCTTATAAGAAGTTAGAAAAAAAGAACTCTCGTCCATGTTACTGCTAAACATTTCAACTACTTAAATATTTCTGATATTTCAGTCTCGTTTACACTTTTCTTATAACCTATAAAAATGAACTATTTACTAATTTTGCTTCGCATTCTTAACGAACCGGTTTTTCATAACAGTCACAGATACAAAGAAATCATTGCACAATCAATCCTTTTTCCTGAGAATAAAAACATACAATCTTCATCTTTACAGCCTGGAACCGGTAAAGAAGACACTGTATATAAGAAGGTGGCTGTTGTTGAAAACTTTTTTAACATCATCTATGAAGTTCACGTTGATAAGGACGTACGTGGAGGAAAACATGCAGGACAAAAACGCACTTATAAAACCGTAAGTAATTCCCTAAATTTTTGACAACCAGTCAATGTTTAAAGCATGAAAAGCACTTACCAAATAATTAAAGTTTGTTGTTTTCACAATTGTCGGAATAAATGACAAACTGTCAGAAAAATAATAACAATAAAAAATATAACAAAATATATATATTTCATTTTCACTTCTTGCGAACCTCGGGATGCAATGGACGCGTTGCACGATCTACAATTTATCAATAGTTCCAAAGCGTTTCTTATATTTACAAGTTTCTTGAAATAAGACTTATAATTCACGAAGATAATAACACGTGAACTTTATATTCTATCGATGTATGAGTCACTGATTAAACCCATCTGGGATGCTTTTCTGTGTCTGCGAAGAAGTAATTAGCGATTTTGATTCATTTTAGATAGCCGAAACTTACGCTTTCCTGCCGCGTGAGGCGGTAACTCATTTTCTGATGTCCTGCGCCGACTGTCAGAAAAGAATGCATGTTGCGACAGAGTGTGACGGGAAAAGTGGTTACTATGGAAACAAGGATCGTCGTGTCAGAAGTGGGGCCAATTCTCCTGGATCAGGCTCTCCAGTTCTAGAAGAGAACAACACCCCCCAACTAACAACTGACATTGATTACAACCTACCCATAACAACAACTTATTTGAAACGTATGAGAAGCTTGGGCTTTTCAAAAGAAGAAGCTTTAAATTTTGACAGAGAGGTAAGGTATCATTAACAAGAATTTATCATGTTTCTTATAATACATAACTTGTATTCTGTTTTGCATACTACGTTTTATAGTTATTGTTGGTTAGAATTTGCTATTCGTCTTTATTGTCTGATCTTGAATTATGCCAATCTAGCTAATCTTTGTGTTACTAGTAATTGGTATTAGATAAAATAGTGATAAACTGTCAAGTACCTCGATCTTAAAAATTGGTCACAGTTATTGTCAGACAGTCTTATTATTATTAATTATTTTAAAATTATTTCAGACAAGTGTCTTTATCCCTCGTTGTTAATGACAGCTCGACTGACGTTTCCAACTACCTTACTAATAGTTCATAGAACTTAATCAGTTGTGCGAATCCTCCATTAATTCTGCGAAAACCCAGTCGGTGGCTCATTTTTCTGCTAAGAAATGTAACTTAAAGTAATTCAGATATTATAATCCTATGATATTAATTATAACTTAATAAACTCAAAGTATTCTCTGATATTAAATACTAGCGAAAGTACCCGGCTTCGCTCGGGTTATTAGGTTGATTTACTCTAGATGACTATGTTAGTGTGTGTATTCTGAACCCATTTTAACATAAAAGTATAACCTATATACTTTTGTTGCTCCTTTACGGGATGAGACCTGTTTATAAAGGTAACCGTCTCTCTGACTTGTACTCTGATTTTAAACTTAAATACTAAAAACAAATAATATAAAACAAACCTCTTTAATTAACGAAGTCTCTAAATTAGAATACAACAAATATTTTTTTTTAATTTTGTAGTTTATACATTTCATTTTATACTTTCATCACATGGCCTCTTAACAACAATATTATGTTATACTTTTATTGCTAAGCAATATGATATAAAAGTCAGTTTTGGAACGCATTGTTACCAACACACGCACTGGCTTTTCTATATATGTTAGAAGTTGTTATATAAGGAACCACTTCTTTGCTATGTGGTTTTTCGCTAGATTCCCTCTTTAAAAAGATGCGCACGCACGTGCGTGTCTGTCTGTGATTTATATCTATAATTTGTAATATAAAGAACCACTTATTTCTATGTGGTTTATCGCCGGCTTGCCTCACTAAAAAGATGCGTACGCGCATGTGGATAAGATAAGTAATATTTAGGTACGCAGTCTCAGTATGGGTGCAAAATTTCAGATGTCTAGGTTCTTTACCTTTGGAGATATAGCGGTCACATATTATTTCTTATGTGGTTTTCCCCACCTTGCCTCATAGAAAAATAGGCACGCCACTCGTGCATGCACATGGATAAGTTATAATACTCAAATGCACACCCTCATGGTCCATTTAGTATGGGTGCAAAACTTCAGATGTCTAGGTTCTTTACCCTTGGAGATATAGGGGTCACATATTATTTCTTATGTGGTTTTTCCTCACCTTGCCTCATAGAAAAATAGGCACGCCACACGCGCATACACATGGATAAGTTATAATACCCAAGTGCACACCCTCATGGCCCATTTAGTATGTGTGCAAAATTTCAAGTTTCTATATTCTTTCCTATTGGAGTTATGGCGGTCACATACACATAGACACACAGACTAGCGAAAGTACCCGGCTTCGCTCGGGTTATTAGGCTGATAATACTATAACTATATATTTTGGCGCTAAGCAACATGACATAAAAGCCATATGTTAGAACGCATTGTTACCAAAATGCACTGACTTTTTTACATATTAAAAGTTGTTATATAAGGAACCACTTCTTTCCTATGTGTTTTTTTGCTAGCTTGCCTCATTAAAAATAATTTACCGACGACTGACTGCCTCAACTGCGCTTTTCTGCCTCTTTGTTGGTCAGTCTTGATTTCGCAAAATTTATTTATTTCAGTTACGTATCAAATGTGAGGTTAGGGTATACTGTGGGGTTGGGGTGGGGGTGGTAGTACTCGCACCGTCATTTTTGATTGGCTATACGCTAGTCCCATAATAGTTAAAACTACCCTATAACATCCCATAATAGTTAAAACTACCCTATAACATCCGATAATAGTTTTAAAACTTTATAACATCATACAACAGGTAAAAACTACTATATAACAATCCATAATAGTTAAAACACTATATAACATTCCATAATAGTTTTGTTGCCAAGCGACGATGTATGTTGTCGGTCATTACAAAAAAAAGAGCGTAAAAGCGTTCACGATAGTATAACATCCCATTTTCTGCCTTTTTGTTGGTCAAGCTTGATTTCGCAAAATTTATATATTTTAGTTAGCTATGAAATGTGAGGTTAGGGTATACCATGGTGTGGATATGGTAGTATTTTCCACGTCATGTTTGACGGGCTATATGCTAGTAATAGTTAAAAAACACTATAACATCCCATAATAGTTCAAAAACCACTCTATAACATTCCATAATAGTTAAACAACCACTATAACATAATAATTAGAACATACCCTATAACATCCCATAATATTTAAACACTCTATAACGTCCTATAATAGTTAAAATCAATCTATAGTATCCCATAATAGTTCAAATACTGTATAACATCCCATAATAGTTCAAATACTGTATAACATCCCATAATAGTAAAAACTACTGTATAACATCCTATAATAATTAAAGAAAAATACTATAACATCCCATAACAGTTAAAACACTCTAACGTCCCATAATAAATAAAACTACCCCATAAAAGTAAAAAGCTCACCCTATAACATCCCATAATAGTTTTTAAAAATCACTCTTATAACATCCCATAATAATTAAAACACTCCATAATCGTTAAAACATTCCATAGCAGACACATTTCTTTTCTATGTGGTTTTTCGTATAAAAAGATGCGCACGCGCATACGCGCACGCACTTAGATAAGTAATAATACCAAAGTGCACATCCTCAAGGTCCACTTAGTATGTGTGCAAAATTTCAAGTTTCTAGGTTCTTTACTCTTGAACTATGGCAGTCACATATTCGTTTCTATGTGGTTTTTCGCTAGCTTGCTTCATTAAAAAGACGCGCACACGCACATGGATGGGTATTATTACTTATTCACGCACGTGGATAAGATAAGTAATACCCAGGTGTACATTTCACATGCGCGAACGTGAGTGTCTGTCTGTCTTTATGTGATTTCTATTTGTAATATAATGAACCACATTTTTTCTATGTGGTTTTTCGCTACCTTGTTTCATTAAAAAGATTCTCACGCACATGGATATGATAAGTAATACTCAGGTGCACACTCTCGGGGTCCACTTAGTATGGGTGCAAAATTATAGGTTTCTAGGTTCTTTCCTCTTGGAGTTATGGTGGTCACACTTCTTTTCTATGTGGTTTTTCTATAGCTTGCCTCATTAAAAAGATGCGCACGCACGTAGATAAGTAATAATACCGAGGTGCACACCCTCAGGATTCACTTAGTATGTTTGCAAAATTTCAGGTTTCTAGGATCTTTCCTTTTGGAGATTTGGCGATCACACACACAGAGACACGCCCTTATGTTTTTATAGATAACTTAATAAAATCAAAGAAGTGAGTATTCTCTGATTTTAATTATAGGGCAACTAACTAAGCACATGTATTCTCTGATAATTCAATGAATTGACTGTATCCTCTGCTGTTAATGGTAGAACAACTAACACACTCAAAGAATCAAGTGATTGAATCCTCTGATGCTAATCATAGGCAACTAATTGTATTCTATGATGTTGAGGACTGTTCGATTAACCTAATGAATTATCAGAACTATCTGATGTCCTTATTGATTATTTGAAAAAGGTGATAGCATTTTAAGATCTTAATGATTGTTCAACTAACTTTGTAGCATAAGTTTATATTATGATGCTGATCATAGATCAAATAAAACATATTCAGCTCATACCCTGGTTAAATAATTATAGAAAATGAGAATGTTATATGAGAATGCACCACTTTTAAATAATAAATTTAGAAGCACGCTCTCTTTTCATTTCCAGTTGAATACCTAATATAACTAATGTTAAAATACATAGTGTGATGTGTGCATTGCCATGTAATTAATAATATATTAATAATAATACTTTAAAATTAAACTACAACAATGTTTGTTTGTTGTTAAGCGCAAAGCTGCACAATGGGCTATCTGTGCTCTGCCCATTACGGATATCGAAACCCAGTTTCTAACGTTGTAAGTCCTCATACATACCGCTGGGCCACTGGGGGGTACTACAACAATGAAACATGAATTTAAATTCCAGTAAATTAGGGTTTAAATAATTTGAACAGGTGAGGCTTTATCCTCTAATGTTAATAATAGTTTAATTAAGTCAATCTTTGACTTATAAGTTTTACTTGTACATCATTGTGTGGTAGCTTGTGTAGATTATGTAGATGTAGTAACTTGACTCGAGTAAAACGATTTAGTTATTTTTGTTGATTATACATGTGTGATAACTTGTGAGAATTATATATGTATGGTAACTAGTGTGAATTACATATATTTGTGGTAACATGTGTCCATTATATATATATGTCGTACCATATGTGAATCATTTCTTTCTGCGGTAGTTTGTGTGTATTATAAAGATATGGTAACTTTTGTGAGTCATATCTGTCTGTGGTAGCTTGTGTAAATTATAAAGATATGATAACTTTTGTGAGTCATATCTGTCTGTGGTAGCTTGTGTTAATTATAAAGATATGGTAACTTTGTTTAGTATATAAGTATTGTAACCTGTATATATTGTATATGCGTTGAAAGTCGTGTCAGTTATAAATATATGTGAGATTTTGTCAGGTATACACGAGCGATAATGAGATAGATGTGGTAACTTGTGTAGATTACACGTGTATGATAATTTGTGTGAATGATATATATATGATAACTTGTGTGAATGATATATATATGATAACTTGTGTGAATAATACTTACATCTATTTAATAACTTTTTGTCGGTTATATGTTGGTACTTTTGTCTACTGTATATATATATATATATTGTAAACTGTGCAGATCATGTGTTGTAGCCTGAGA